TAATATGGTGACAACTCATCCCATCTCATTAAAATTTTCCTTCCATCCCTTTCCTCCAAAAAAAACAAGAAAAATGATTTTCCTAAGTATGGGTCATATCATCCAATAATATAATGATAACTCATCTTCTCTCATCTATTTTCTTAGAGTTTGTTTGGATTGAGGGGAATAAGGGAGAAGGGAAGTTAGGTGAACCACTCACCTTGTTTGGGAACATTTAGGAGGTGAAGTTATTCACCCTAGTTCCCCTTGGTTCACCCCTTAATAGTATAAAATTTGTTACCCCCAAATTGGGGTGTAACCAAGGGTAAGGAAACCCCCTTTCCTTCCATTTCATTCTCTCACCTAGTTTCCCTTAACTTCCCTTCACCCCATTGAAATCCAAACACACCCTTAGTTTTAAGAATGAACCAAATACAATAAAAAATCTAAACAAGGAAAGTGGAAGAAAACATTAAAAATTACTCATCTCATCTAATAATATGATGACAACTCATTTTCTCCCCCACTTTCTTTTATAGCTTTGACAAACTAAACATCTGAAAGTGGAGAAAAATATCAAAATTCTCCTATATTAATTTTCTTTCCCCCACTTTCCCCTACTTTCTACATTTTTTACGAAACAAACAGGCCCTTAAAAGAATCTGGTGGTGGAAAATTTTTCTGGCTGGGGTTGCCCACAACACTTACAACAATTCATTTGCATTACTAAATGCCCTAGTGACGCCCATAACTCCATTACCACTAATAAATATACACTCACAACTTATTATTACTTACATATAGGTCACGTTTGGGTCAGTGACATGTTTTATCTCTGGACTAATTTAACTCACTACATATAATAATCTAGGAGACTATAGTGAATAGAATTTTTAATATAACATGTCTGGCTCAATTTGTTATTAACACTTCTATTATTCAAGTCATGGCTGAAACTTTGTCATTATAAAAGGCTATATGATTATGATATAATAGTAATGTCGAAGATACCATTCTACATATCTCAATAGTGAATTATAGCTTTTAATAACGAAACAAGCAAAGTAAACTCAAAATCTGGTTTCTAGCTTTCCTCTTAATTATGTTAGACATGATTTGTAATTAGTACTATAATGAACTGAGAGATTTTTCTATTGAGACATTTGAACGAAAATTATAAATTAAATTCTTCTATAGTTCTATACTTAAATCTTGTAAAATATATCATTAAGTACCTTTTAAAGAGATAGCAGGAGAGAGAGAGAGATATATATGTCGAGAGATAGAACCGAACAAACCGAACCGAACCGCACCGAACCGACTTGCAACAATTCAGTTCGGTTTTGAATTATAGGTGGTTCGGTTCGGTTGTTCAAATTTTGAAAAAAACCGAACCGAACCGACCATTGCACACCCCTAGGAGAGATCCTTCGACAATGAGTTCGCAGGTCCAAGAACACCAAAGCCGCATGTGAATAAATAAAAGACAGAGAAAATGTGAGGAGAGAAACAATTACTAATTAGAGAAAAAACGCTTGGAAAATATAGGGCCACTTAAGGGTCAATGTGGTCTAAAACAAATTGGAAAATACTCTCAAGATTATAATAACATCCCTTCCCCTCCTTTATTTAGTCCGAATTGTTAAAATATTTTATTTTAAGGCCCAGTTTGGCAAAGGCTTAAGAAAGAGGGATTAAGAAAAATGATTAATATAGTTAGCTCATTTAATAACCCAAATGACTAAGTTATTAACCTATAAATAAGTTTTATTTTAGTCATTGTGATCAATTTTAGTATTTGAGATTAACTAAGATTTTGACTATTTTTCATAAATGGAGGGGTTAACTCTTAATCCTTCTTAATAGGAGTATTAGTAAAACCCTTATTTTGAGGGGTTAACTCAGTTTAATCTCTCTAGAGGGGTTAGCTTAACCCTTATGTATTTATTGCGTTTGACAAATTATAGAAATTTAACTCACTTTAACCATTGTATTTTTTTGTTTGGTCGGTTAAGAAAGGATTAAATCTCATTAATCCCTCACTTAACTCGTTGCCAAATAACACCTAAGGATTAATTAGTCCGACCTAATTTTTCCAAAAGTTTCAAAGTAAACGCCTTACTATTTTATTTTAAAGGATAAAAGCTCATTACCTCAAATTAGTACTCAATCCAAATAATAGCCATATGACTTATCACCTTACTATTTTATTTTAAAGGATAAAAGCTTATGATAAAAGCTTATAACCTCAAATTAATACTCAATCCAAACATTGGCCTAATGATTTATCATTACTACTATTTGTACATTTTGTTACAAAGATCTAAGGAGGCCATAGCTACCCCCC